TCTCTCTCTCTCCAGTGTCTCATTATTCAGCTCTTGCTGGCCTGCAACTCATCATAGAGGTCTGCCACTGCCTTCTGAGTGCTGAGATTAAAAGTGTGTTCTACCATGCCAAGGTGGATATATAATTTTAACCTGCCATAATACTGTAAATGAACATCCTCTAGGATGCCACATGATTAAGGAGTTGAAAATAGCACAATTCTCTTTTGTGTTGTGCTTTGTTTTGATACAGGGTCTCATGTAGCTCAGGCTGGCCTGAAACTCAACTCACTCACTATGTAGCCCAGAATGACTTTGAACCTCTAATCCCGTGTCCACCTCTTAAACTGGGATTACAAGAGTGTACCACCAAGCCATTTATACAATGCAGAAGATCAAACCCAGACCTTATGTATGCTAGGCAAGCACTCTACCAATTAAGTTATATCCCCAGCCCAATTTGTGGCTACCTAGAACTTACCATGAAATATTGTGTGAAATTGTATGAACACACATTTAGGGGAGCTACTGTCCCTCTTCCAAGATGGTTTTGGCTGTCAGGATGCAGCTAATGACCACAAATTTCCTTTGCAAGATTCTGAATCTACAGTGTACCTCTGCCCTGTCCAGTCCCAAACACTTCTGCCAGCAAATGAGTTCGCAGAAATCTTAGAGGTCTGAAGATCTAAACAATAGTCCAGAGAGCACTGATAAAGATGTTGTACCAGGTTAGTTTTATACGTAGCAGGGTGCTGAAATTACTTGGGAAGAAGACCCCATTCCTGTTACTGTCCTGGCCTTGGTTCCAACTTGTTCTTGTGAAAAGAAAATTGATGGCTCCTGAACTTCCTGTGCTCAGATCTGCACCTGGCCCTGCCCAGCATAGCTCCTAAAGTCCTTCCATCCTCTGAGCCTCCTGCATCTTTCCAAGGTCTGGTCACAATTCAGAAGACAGGAAAATAAATCCATGTGCAGAATGCTGTATAGGGTGCATGGAAACTTGTAAACCCCTTTTATTGGACTGTTCCTCCCACTCACCATAATGATTTCACAGTCCAGGTTAATGATTAAAGAATGTGTTCTAGCTGCTGGGCGTGGTGGTGCATGCCTGTAATCCCAGCATTTGGGGGGCAGAGGCAGGCAGATCTTTGTGAGTTCTAGGACAGCTGGGGCTACAGGGCTACAGGAAGACCCTGTCTCAAAAAGGCAAAAAAAAAAAAAATAGAATGTGATCTAGGGCCAGCAAGATGTAAAGGCACTTGCCATCAGGCATACCTAGCTCAATCTCAGGAACCCACATGGTAGAAGAACTGACTCCTGCAAATTGTCCTCTGAGCCCCACACATGCTCTGTGGCACATTCACACCCCCACACAGACACACAAATGTTTTTTAAAAGTGCGGGGGGCTGACAAGATAACTTAGAAGGGAAAGGTGCTTGCTGCCAAAGCTAATGACAAGGTTGATCCCCAGGATCCATAGGGTGAAAGATAAGACCCAACTCCCTCTGACCACCACACATGTGACCTTAAAATTCTTAAAAATAATGTGACCTAAATTCAAAGTCACCCTGAGCAACTGAGACTTGGTTCAAAAAAATACAAAAACTGGATTGGGGAGATGGCTCAATTGTAAAATGCTTGATGTGCAAGCAGAAATCCTGAGTTTATATTCCCCCCACATAAAAAGCTGGGTGCAGTGGTATATACCTCATAATCCTAGCACTGGGAAGATGGAGACAGATAGTTGGAGCTTACAAATTGGTGAGCTCCAGGTTCAGCAAAAGACTCTCAGAAAATAAGGTAGAAAGCAATTGAAGAAGACACTTTGCATCAACCTTGGGCTTACACACACACACACACACACACACACACACAGGGGCTGGGGATATAACTCAATGGTGGTGTGCTTGCTTGACATGTGAAAAACCCTGGATTCAGTCTCCAATATCAATGGGGGAAAAATGTGGCCTGGGCCAGTAAGTAGCTCTTCCACTTAACATGATAGGACATTAGTAAAGAAAACAAACATCATATTCCCTTCACTATAATGTTTGAACAAAAGTAGTTTTTCATTGGGTTATTATGTAGAGGTTAAATGAGTATACAGGAATGGCACAGAAGTGTAGTCCCTCCCTCTCTCCACCCTCAAAAAACACCAGGGCTTTTAACAGTTACAGAGTAACCACTCTCCAGGAGTGATCTAAGGGTGACCAGAGGCAGTAGTAGGGGCAGTCCTCAAAAGCCCTTGATATCCTTTGAATGACCCAGCTTCCATACCTTCCTATCTTAAAGGTCTCACAAATCACTTACCACCTATACCTTTACCTGTCACCATCTGACAGTGCCTCTTGAGACAGGCACAAGAGCTCACAAATAAGCTGAGGCAAACCAGAATTTCCAAAAACAAAAATTCCAAGAGCTCAATTCCAGGGCCATATCCAGGAAAGGAATCAGAAGCAAGGCTGTCCCTGTGGAGTCAGGGCTGTCAAGTGGGGAAGGTAGCTTGATCACGGTTGCTGCAAACCCCAGCCATTTTTCTCTTTTTTGGGGGGAGGGGGTGAGATAGGGTCTTCCCTGTAGCCCCAGCTGGCCTGGAACTCACTGTGTAGACCAGGCTGGCCTCAATCTCACAGAGATCCACCTGCCTCTGCCTCCAAACTGCTGTGATTAAAGACATGTACTACCTTGCCTAGCTCCAGCCTTTTCTTTTTTTTTTCTGAGACAAGGTCTCACTGTAGCCCCCAGCTGGTCTGGAACTCACTGTGTAGACCAGATTGGCCTCAATCTCAGAGATCCACCCACCTCTGTCTCCTGAGTGCTGGGATTAAAGACATGCACCACCACGTCCAGCCCCAACCATTTCTTAACCTGAAAATGGAGACGGCAAAAAGTGGCTGCCCACAGTTTCCTAAATAGTAGAAAGACAGGGCCTTCTGTGGGGACAGATCTGATCTGACAGTGAAGGCAGCACTTACAAGTATATCCTCAAGACATCTGGACCCCTCACAGAGGCCCTCCAACATTCTTGATATGCCCATAGCTTCCAACTGTCCATGGAGGGATGAGGGAGAAGAGCTGGGCTAGTGCAGTGGTCCTATCTGAAAGTTTAATACACTAAATGCATTAACCACTAACACTGCCTGACCTTCCTCCATTGGCAGCCGGTGCACAGCTGATCCCTATGTAAAGTATACTTCAATCCCTCACCTCCTTCAGGTCTTTGCATGAACACCTCCATGTTCAAAGAAGTCCACTCCATTCCATAACCAACTTTACCATAGTGGGTCACTTCTCCCACATACCTAATCCCCTCATCTGACCAAGCTCTATTCAGTATCACTTAACTGGCCTCTAACAAGCAGTACTCATATTTAATTCAAATATGTATTCAATATTATATATACTAAACATTACATAGTATTTGTAATGTCTCCCCCTCTTATCAGCTCACTAGGATGTCAGCTTTATGAGGGCAAGGATTTAAGGCAGGAGAATGAGTACATCCACATCAAAGCATAGGATTTATGAAAGCAAATGAGCAACCTTGTGAGATCTTATAGAGGGTCCTGACTTGGACCCTAGATCTCTACATGGCAACACCCAGCAAAAGACCAACAGCTGGGGATGGGACAGGTATATGGTTTAACACCCAACTAGAGTAACATCTTTTTAATAGTTGCTTTACTTCTTCTGATGGTGAAACAGGGTCTCCCTGTATTTCTCAGACTGGCCTCAAACACCAGTCTCCACCTTCCAAGTGCCAGGATTACAAGCATGTGCCACCACACCCAGCTGTTCCTTTACTTGAAAAAAAAATTTTTTTAAGGGCACAGCTATCTTTTCACTTAAAAATACATCCTTACATGCAGGCCCTCACTCAAGTTAACCTCATAATCAGTGAGGCTGTGCTCTAGTACCAGCTTCAGCACCCACAATGTAGGGTTCAGTCCTGCAGTTTGAGGTCACACTTCTTCTCCAGCTCTGCCATCCCCTTCAGGACCAAGGCCACACAGTACCTCAGCTCCTGGAATTTGGCCATGGGTACCTCGAAGCGGTGTGCAGATCCATCTGAGAGCTTTAGCTGCATGAGGACACTTGGCTGCAAGGAGCGGGCCTGGGCACTGGTGGAGATGGCCACATCTACTCGCCACCGGAAGTCAGCCATGTGGGGGAGCCAGGCCTCCTGTTGTAGGGCCACAGAGTCAAGCAATGGACGCTGGCTCCCAAATGCCACACTGACCAAATCTCCAACCAGGTCTTGGGGAATGCCGAGCTCTTGGAGCTGGTCCTGGAAGGCATCTGGCTTCAGGCTGGCAGGGGGCAGCCGGAGGGCCTGGTGGAGTAGTGTGTGTGTGCCTGCCAGCAGGGTACACAGACACTCCTCTGACAGGTTGGCACTGACACCAAGGTGCTGAACAGCTTCTCTGCAGTCTTCCCCTTGCAATCCCCCAACTACAAGCTTCAGCAACTTCCTGAAGGTACTTCTGTCCAGGTCCCCCATAAGCTGAGCCACTGCTACCACTTCTGGAGGGAGCTGGGCTCCCAGAAAACTGACCTGGCCACTATGATTGTCAACCGTATGGTGCAAGTATGGAGCTGCAGCCCCGGAGGCAGACATCCTTGCCTCCTCCTCCTTGATCAGTCCAAAGGGAAGGTCTCAACCAGCTGCCTGGAGGGGTGAAAGAGAGAGAAGTGACAACCTAGTCTGGAGCCTGCAGTATCAGTGAATAAAGGTCGATGTGGGACCCCAGCCTGGGTCACCAACACATGAACTACCAATGGGATGGATGCTTAGGCGGTGGCCCTGTGAGCAGGTGGCAAAGGAGGGAGGGATGAAGGGAGACCTTCCAGAGATGAGCAGTTGGCAGGGAAAAGAAACAAGAAATAGGAGCACACAGAGGGGCGAGGTGGTGCATGCCTTTAATCCTAGAGCTCAGGAGGCTGAGGCAGGCAGATCTCTGAGTTTCCAGGCCAGCTGGGGCTACAGGGAGACCCTGTCTCAAAAAGACAGACGGACGGGAGGGAGGGAGGAGAAGAGAGGAGAGAGAGGAAAAGAGACGGGGAGAGAGAGAGAGAGAGAGAGAGAGAGAGAGAGAGAGAGAGAGAGAGAGAGTGTTTTCCTGTGACGAGAGGAAGAGAAGAGAGAAGAGAAGAGAGAGAGAAAGAGAGAGGGAGAGAGAGAGAGAGAGAGAGAGAGAGAGAGAGAGAGAGAGAGAGAGAGAGAAACACATAAGTTCTCTGTAATGTTAAAGAATGAACTTGGATAAACGTTCAGAGGACCCAGAGAGCACAGCAGAGCCCCACCACCACCACTCAACCCCGAAACCTCACCACAGCTCTGAAAGAGTTAATTCTCACATTACAAAAATAAACCAATCCTTTAAAGCCCCTACAGCCCCCGTAGTCCCAGCACCTGGAGCAAGGAGTCCGCAGCGTAGAAGACAGCCGGAAGTGGAGCCGGTCCCCGGAAGGACCCACAGACATTTCCGGACCGCTCTAGGAAATCGGGCGGGTAGCCTTCTGTGGTTTCCAGAACTGAGCGGGGATGCCACTGGGCGGCGGAGCTCCCAGTCGCCCTCTGACACTTGGTTATTAGGGAAGAGGAAGCACGAGACTGTTTAATTCTGGCTTCCGAGGCGGAGGCGCTAATCTTCCCAGAAGCGAGGCCGGGGTGCGGGGCACAAGCTAGCTTAAACGTACTTGACACCACTGAAGCGCATAATTTTAATTAGATGGAAAACTTAGTAATATACATCAAGGACTAAAGGTTGAATTTGCTTTTATTAATGATCTACACCATCTAAAAGTCGGCAGAACCATCCGCTTCCCTGAGGAAGACCCAGCCGGACCACGGAAACAACACGAGCACAAAGCTTGAATGGTCAACAAAAGCCATTTGGGTGACTTCCATACGGACTTACCCCATTCTGGCTTGACTTGGGCTGCCAGGGCTGTTCAGGAACTCAGCCCAAACAACGGCTTCCAAACAATTTCATTGAACATATTTTACTATAGGTTTTTAAAAGAATGTTATATACTGTATTAGTCCTTTTTCTCCTGGCTCTGACCAAATAAATACTTGACAAGAAGCAACTTAAGGAAGGATTTGGGGGGTTAGAAAGGTGACCCAGCAGTTAAGAGCCATCTGCAACTCCAGTTTCAGGGAATCTGATGCCTTTTTCTGTCTTCCTCTGGCATTGCACGACGTACAGGTACACTTGCATATATGCATGAGATATATGCCTACACATAAAAAAAAAAAGACAGGATTTATTTTGGTTTACATTTCTGGAGAATATAGTCAATCATGGCAAGGGATGGCATGGTGACAGGAGTGTATGGTGGCTGGTCATACTGCCTGTGCAGTCCAGGAGCAGAGAGAGAGAGGAATGCTAGTGCTCAGTTTACTTTCTCCTTTTTATTCAGTCTGAGACACCAGCACATGGTATAATGTCACCGACAGTTCTGGTAGGTCTTCCAACCTCAATTAGCCCAATCTAGAAACTCCCTCACAAACATTCCCAGAGATTTGCCCCCAGGTGATTCTAGATACTGTTGACAATATTAAATCATATATAGATATATATTAAATTGTATACTTTATAAATAGATGCATTGGGTATACAATATACATTATAGCTCCATAAAGCAGCTTTAGAAGAAGAAAAAAACAACAAAAGGAAGGAAATTACCTAATTAGCTAAATGGGCAAAAAACTGGATAGACAATCCATCAAGGATTGTGTAAATTGCTAATGATCCAGAACTGGTAATACAGGCCAGAATCACAAGTTCCAGGCCTTCCTGGGCTATAGAGTGATTTCAAGACCAGCATGAGTAACTTAGTGAATTACTGTATGAAAAAGGGATGGTGTGGCTAGAGATGTAACTCAGTTGGTAGAGTGCTTGCTTAGCATTCATGAAGTCCTGAGTTCAATATCTAGCACTCAAGTATGGTGGTCCACACTTGTAATCTCAGCACTCAGGAAATAGAGACAAAGTTCAAAATTTTCCTTGGCACATAGCCAGTTTCAGGCCAGCCTGGGTTATATGAAACCCTGACTAATCAAAAGAAGGAGGGAAGGGAGGGAGGGAGGGAGGGAGCAAAAAGAGAAACATGGACATATAAATGGACATAAAAAGAAACATTAGGGATGCAGAACCACAAAGAAAAGTTGATATGAGCATACAGCAAGAAGTTGACCATCTGCAAACCAAGGAGAGGCCGCAAAAGAAGATAAACCTGCCAACACCTTATAGCATCTTAATCTTGAACTCCTAGACTCCAGAATTGTGAGAAAACAAATTTCTGTTTTCATACACATCTAGTCTGGTATTTTGAGCTAAGAACAAGGTTTGTTTAAGGTTTCTGCTAATAACAAGGGACCAGATTTCTTTCATTCATTTATAATGTTTTTGTGATTCACTCGTGTTACATGCTATCAGAAATATGTTCCAGTTAAGTAGAATTTAAATAGAATAAATGCCAGTTTGTCAGCTCTAATGTAGATGAATACCTAGAATATTTCCCAAATTTGTCTATTGTAAGTGGAGCCACTGTGGAACCTCAGGAGCAAGTTCATCAGTCTTCTATTGACCCAGTACCCATGTGGTAGCTAACAATCATCCATAACTCCAGTTTCATGGGATTTAACATACACTTGTGGCCTCCATAGACACTGCACTTACACACATACAGGCAAAACACTCATACACATAAAATAAAAATAAAGTTTTTTAAAAAAAGAAATGTATACATCCTTTTAGCCATGAATTTTCTGGATTCACTTTATTTGTTTTGTTTTGTTGGGTTTTTTATTATTATTTTAGGTGTATTAATTTATTGCCTGCATATAAGTACACCTGTGTTATGCAATGCCCAATGGGGTCAGAAGAGGGCACTGGTTTCCCCTGGGACTGGAGTTATGGATAGTTGTTAGCCACCATGTGGGTGCTGAGTACCAAACCCAGGTCCTCTGAAAGAGCAGCCAGTGCTCTTAACTGCTGAGTCATTTCTCTAGCTCCTTCAATATATCTTTAGAGGAACATAATTCCACCCATAACAAAGAATGTTCATAGCAGCTTTGTCTGGTTGGTTTTGGAAAGATAGAGGTATGTTCATGTGTGTGCAAGTACACACATGTGGGTAGATTCATGTGCACTGTGTGTCTGTAGAGGCCAGAGATCAACCTCAGGTGTCATCTATCTACATTTTGTTTTTTAATGGTTTTTTTTGTTTATCTATTTGTTTGGTTTGGTTTGGTTCAGTTTGATTTGGTTTGGTGTTCAGACAGGGGCTTCCTGTAGCCCCAGCTACCCTGGAACTCATGCTGTCGACCTGACTGGCCTAGATCTCACTTGCTTCCTAAATGCTGGGATTAAAGGTGTGTACCATCACTCCTGGCCCACCTTGTTTTCTTGACACAGGGTCTCTCATTAGGAACTTGGGTTCCCATTAAGCTAGGCTAGTTGGCCAGTGAGCTACAAGGATCCACTTGTCTCTGCCTCCCCAGCACTGGGATTACAAATATGTGCTACCATGCCCAGCTTTTTATGTGTATTCTGTATGTTCACGTCCTCATGCTTACATTGTAAATACTTTACTAACTGAGCTATCTCCACAGCCCCAGCAGCTTTATTTTAAATAGCCAAACACTGTAATATAAAGGATTAATTGACTATTGTAATGCAGGATCACAATTAACCAGATAGACTACTTTTCTTTAAAATATAAGTTAGGAAGAAGCCAGACATAATTTGTATGCCACATCGGCCCAATTACATGAAGCAGGTACATCTGAAGGGAGCTGACTAACCAATAAAAAAAAATGTTCTGGGGCCGGTGTGGTGGCGCACCCCTTTAATCCCAGCACTTGGGAGGCAGAGGCAGGCAGATCTCTGGGAGTTCGAGGCCAGCCTGGTCTACATAGAGAGTTCCAGGCCAGCTGGGGCTACAGGGAAAAAAGAAAAAAAAAAGTTCTGTACCTTGTTTTGTGTGGTATATGGACATATTCAACTTCTAAAATTTATTAAGTTGGATACTTTATTCATTGATTCATTGTTAATTTTTTTGAGACAGGATATCATGTAGCACAGCCTGGCCTCAAGCTCCTTATGTAGCCAAGACTGACCTTGAACTCCTGATCTTCCATTTCTAACTCCTGAGTGCTGGGCTTACAAGCATACACCACCATACCCAGCTTTGAGCTGAATAATTTATATCTACATTTTGTTATATGCAAATAGGTTTTTCAAAGTAGAAGGGGGTCTGGGATTGTAACTTGTGGGAAACAGGCTTGAGCCTAGGGTGATTTTGCAACTGCCAGGGTCATGTGGTTTCCAGGAATCCAGACTCTGTAATCTGAAATCCAGTTTGCTAATAAGGCATCCTACCCTCTATTCTGTGATAGGACATTAAGTCTGTTATGCTAATAGGATGCTAAGTCTGTTATGCTAATAAGGTATCCTACTTGCGGTGCTGTGATGGGACCACCACCCCTATATAAGCTTGTGCCTTCCTGCAATAAAGCAGACTTGTGTCACTGAACCTGGTCTCCTGTGTCTGAATGTGGCTCCGCTGACACAGTCTCCTCACCAGCCCTGGGGTCTGGGACTGGGCAGAAGCAGCGATGACAGGAGGCAGAACAGGGCAAGCAGAAGAGCTGCCTCAGCACCAGGCGAGCAGAAGAGCTGCCTCAGCCCAGGGCAGGCAGAAGAGCAGCCTCAGCCTAAGGTGAGCAGAGGAGCAGCCTCGACGCCCATGAGAACAAAGGAGTGGCCACCGCTGGCAGTGACCGCAATAACTTAGTCAGTGAAGTCTTGCCTTGCAAGCATGAGACTGAGTTAAGTCCCCCAGCACTCAGCCAGTAATGGTAGTGTGCATTTGTAATCCCAAAGCTAGGGAGCCAGAGAAAGGCAGATCTCTGGGACTCATAGGCCAGCCAGCCTATGCTACTCAGTAACTTCCAAGCCAATGAGAGACCTTATCTTAAAAAGGTGGACAGTGCTCAAGGAATGATGCCCAAGCTGTCCTTTGGCCCCCATACACCTACACAAGCATACACATACATCTGCAGACACATGAACATACATATACCTGCAGACACATGAACACACATACACCTGCAGACACATGAACACACCTACATTTGCAGATACATGACTATGAGTTTTGATTTCCAGCCATGCACATGGTCCTCCTACATTCTAGTTCTTACTGCATTTCCCACAAGGACTTCCTGGCTCATCCTCAGTATGCTAATCACAGACCATTTGCTCTAATAGATATTTAGCCCATATGGAGAATGAGTGAAGGATATGCTAAGATCTCAATCTCTCTCTCTCTCTCTCTCTCTCTCTCTCTCTCTCTCTCTCTCTCTCGTTTATCTCTCCCTCCCATCCATTCTCCCCCCTTCCCCTTCCTCTTGTTTTTTTTTTAATTTTATTTATTTTTTTATTTTATGTGTATGTGTGTATTGTCTGCATGTAGGTAAGTACACCCGAGTCGTGCAATGCCCATGGAGGTCAGAAGAAGCTGTTGGATCCCCTGGGACTGGAGTTACGAACAGTTGTTAGCTGCCGTG